AGGAAGGGTAATGATAGGACAAGGGGAAACGGTTTTAAATTGGAAGAAAAAAGATTCAGATTAGATCTCAGGAAGAAATTTTTTACTCTGAGGGTGGTGAGACACTGGAACAGGTTGCCCAGGGAAGTTGTGGCTGCCCCATCCCTGGAGGGGTTCAAGGCCAGGCTGGATGGGGCCTTGAGCAACCTGCTCTAGTGGGAGGTGTCCCTGCCCAGGGCAGGGGGGTTGGAACTAGATGATCCTTGAGGTCCCTTCCAACCCAAACCATTCTATGATCTGAAAGAGAGGGAGCTCTCTCTGTGGCCAAAACATAGCCTGTGTTTAAATACCTCCCAGTCTTGAATCTTGTGAGTTATTGCTTGGGTAGCAGTTGGTGATAAGGGCCTTTAACTGAGCATGACTAAAGGGACTAATGACACCCTGCAAAATGATAACTCAGTGATGGAAACAAAGATGATTTACTACTGATCCTGCTCAGCCTGGAGCTGTTATTAATAAAGCTGTTCCGAAAGCCCAAATAAGTTGTAGACAGTGTGGCTGCAGGAAGCACCAGCGCTATTTCAGTCCAAGAATGTCAGTGCCCACTTCCAAGAGGGTTATTTTAGGGCTTAGATAACGGTGTAGACAAAAGGAAGGTGAAAGTTCCCTTTGGAAGGAGGCAGAGGGCTGCTCAGCTGAGGAGGGGGGAGGTGGCAGAGGATCTAGAGGATCATGTGTGTCGGGAAGTGAAAAGAGCTGTTTGTATTCTGACCGTGTTACGTGAGGGAAACAATAAAAATTGGTTACAGGGAATTTAAGAATTAAAATTATAAGATGGGTAATTGGTGGGGGGTGTTACAATACCATTCTAGTCAGAATAGCATGAGCTTACAGTGCCAAGCTTGAAGATAAAACCTGATCAGGTGCTGGATGTGATTTGATCACACTGTCTGATGGCAAGGACTGACCACAGTGGTTCTTTAAGGTTCATGTGTTAAAACTGGAGTGTTTTGGCTTTGTGTCATTCCCTTCAGGAGCCCAGAGCACAGACTGTGCTGAGAACAAGTTCTCTGGTGCTTGGGTCGAAGTGGCTTTAACTCTGAAGAGTTAAATGAGTCTGATCTGGTAATTGTACGTTTTCCTCATGTTTTGCTTGCATTTTGCTATTAGGCATCTGGTTCATATGATCGAACAAGCCCAGAAAGAGCTTCAGAAACTGAGGTGAGCCATTCTTTTTCCTATTTTCATACTTAAGTTGGAAGGAAAGTGAACCTCTCTCCCCTGTATTTCAAAATTAGAAGAAGATACTACAAATTTTAAGGAAAAGAGAAAAAAAAATGCATAGTGTTTTTTTCTCCACAGGAAAAACATTCAAGATCTGAACTGGCAACGAAAGAACATGCAGCTCACAGCTGGGGCTAAGCTACGGGAGATGGAATCTACGTGAGTGTCTCATATTTGTGGAAGATTTAGCAGAAAAATTTATCTTTTGCCTGAAAATCTTCCACGCAGAGCATCAGTGATCTTTAAGTACTGTAGGATGTTATCGTGCGGATACTATTCCTTTGCACAAAGTGTTTTATAGTGTTTTTTACTTTTTTTTCCCCTTCCAGATGGGTCTCTCTGGTCAGTAAAGTGTTGCTTTGCACAGAGTGTTTTATAGTGTTTTTTACTTCTTTTCCCTTCCAGATGGGTCTCTCTGGTCAGTAAAAACTATGAGATTGAACGAACTATTGTGCAGCTGGAAAATGAGATCTCACAAATCAAGCAGCAGCACGGAGAGGCAAACAAGGAGAACATCCAGCAAGACTTCCAGTGACTTCACTCTCTTACTGCGGCGTTAGGCAAAACAAAAAGCTTTGGAGGTGCTGAGTGTTTGTAGACACGGCCGGTTGGGGTTGTGTCAGGTGATAAAAAGGTATTCTCTTGGTTTATTTTCCTTGTCCTAAATTCTAGGAGGGGGCGGGGCAGGCTGGGAATGTCCTGCTTTGGTGTATTTTGGGCACAGTGAAATGCTGGGAATTGATTCCGTTTTTATGCACCTCGAGTAGGAGCTCTTAAAACACAAACCTGGTCCCTGTTTCTGCATTTTCCCTGATGCTGTGAATAAACGCTGGTTTTTGTTATCTGTACGTTCTGGTCCCGGTTGGGCTGGGGAGAGGGGGGGGTGGGCCGTGCCCTGAGGACCCCGGGGCCGTGCTGGGGGGTGGGAAGCCTCCAGCCTGGGGCTGCTCGGTGTCCTTACCGGCCCTGTGGGAGGCTGTAACGCTAAAGGAACACCCGGTAGGTACTCGCCGACACGGACGGGGTGTCCCGCCAGCCCGCGGTGCCCGCCATCCCCTCCCTCCCGCGCGCCTACCCCGGGACCGCCGCGGCCCAGCGCCGTGACCGCATCGCTGGAGCTCCCGCGGGTCCATCGCCGGCTCCCTCGGGCACGGCGGGCTCCGGGCCGGGCTCCGCCGCTCCTTCTCCAGCCGCCTCCGGGGCCGGTCCCGGCGGCGCCGGTTCTGGGGGGCGGGACCTGCTCCCTACCCCACGCTCCGCCCCTATAGCGCCGCGGCTGGCGATTGGCTGGGAAGCCGCTGCCACCGCCCAATAGGGATTCCCCGCGAGGTGCAGTGACGCTCCCGCGTCCCGCCCCCTCCCGGCGTTACGTCACGACTCGTGTCTCCGGTCGGGCCCGTCACGGCCGAGCACGCGCTCCTTGCGCACGGCCCCGCGGGCAGTCACCCCCCCGCCGCGCGCCTGCGCTCCTCCGGGGCGCGCGCACGGCGCGTGGTGACGCCGTACGTGCGCGGCGCGGGGAGTCGGGTTCAAAGGAGGAAACATGGCGGAAAACAAAGGAGGCGGCGGCGGCGGGGAGGGGGCTGCCGAGGCCGGGCCGGGCGGCGGTGGCGGCCTAGAACCTGCAGCCGCCTCTCCGTCCGGCGCCGCGCCCCCCGCGCTCGCCTCCGCGCCTCCCGAAGAGCGGGAGAGCCCAGGCGCGGCGGCGGCGGCGGTGGAACGAGGTCTCGGGGAGGCCGAGGCCGAGGCGGCGGCGGGGCCCGGTGTCGCTCCCGGGCCGGGCCCCAGCCCGGTGCCTCCATTGACACCGGCGGCTCCAGCGCCTTTCTCGCTGCTGGACACCTGCGCCGTGTGCGCGCAGAGCCTGCAGAGCCGGCGGGAGGCCGAGCCCAAGCTGCTGCCCTGCCTGCACTCCTTCTGCCGCCGCTGCCTGCCCGAGCCCGAGCGGCAGCTCAGCGTCCCCATCCCCGGCGGCGCCAACGGCGACGTCCAGCAAGGTGAGCGCGGGCCGGGATCCCCCGGTGGGACCCGGGCTCGGGGTGGGGGGGGGGGGTTTCTCTGTGGCAGCGGCGAGCGCTCGGCCTCTGTCCCTCCGAGGGGAGGAACCGCGGCGGTTCCCGGCCCGGTGCGATCGCCGGGCCCCTCAGCGGCCGCGGACGTGACCGCACGTGTCCCGCGGCCCCGATGCGGGCGGGCTCTGCCCCACAGCGCCCGGCTCCTCGCCCCGCGTTCTCCAGCGACGGCTGAAACTTGGGCGTTCTTGGAATTAAAGTGTAAATTGCGTGTGGGTTTTGCTTAGTTGTGGCTTTCAGGGGTGCCAGAGTAGAGGCGTGTCTGGGGAGGCGCCCCGGAGAGATTTGGCTGAACGAAGCGCCGTCCTCTCTGGCTGCCTCTCTGGCTGCCTCTCTGGCTGCCGTCCCCTCTCGGGATCCCGGATCCCCCCTGTCGGGCTTCGTGCCCGGTTGGACACGGTGTCCGTGGCTCACCGGGGGGCTCCTTCCCGAGGACGGAGGTTAAACACTGCCCTGCTGCTTGTCATTTGACTTGTTGAGCCTCTAGTACTTCATACGTGACTTTAGCGCCGTGGAACAAGCGCAGACTGCTCCTTCTAGGTGTTTGTGTTGAAATCATAGCTAGAAATTATTTTATTTACTTACTTATTTTATATGTTCACGGGTGGAATTGAAAAGCTTGTGGAGCTTTTAATGGAGTGACTCACATGGTGTGGTCTGTAGACCAAACGAGGGCCCTAGTTTTAGTAAGTAGTTTTGCAGGTCTTAACTGGGCCCTGTGGTCAAAGAGACCTTGTTTGGTGACATCTTTCTGGTGTTAGCAAGGACTCAAGCCTTTCCTGTATTGCACAGTGGAGGAATTAACCTGGCTCAGTGGGGGTTCTTTCATCCAAACTGTTCAGAATCTGTTCATCTAGGATGTAGTCTTAGAAAGTCCATCAGTTTTTAAAAGACAATGTGTTAAGTATAGTTCATTAACATCCAAAAGCACCCAGTTGGTCTTGTGATCCTTCTTGTTAAATTCCAGATTCTACATTTTACATTATATGTACTAGTAAAAGATGGACAACTTAGAAAGCTAGGTTTATTTTGCTAGTAATTAGCAGGTTTATCTGAATCCCTCAAGGTCTGTTGGGAACACCACAAAGTGCAGCTTTGGAAGTATATATGAACTGGGATATCAATTCTTGTTTAGGAATGTTTGATTTTCTGCTTGGTGAAATAAGGACTTATCTTTGGATTGCTGCATGAAAAGCTCTCGGGTGACGTGAGCACGGTGTGTGTGCAGGAGAGCCCAGGAGAGTAAACTGGTGAGGGTGTGTGTGATCCACCTGCTCTGCTTTGAAAGTCTGAGGGAACAAAGGCATTAGTCCAGCAGGTCAGTTAAGGAGGAGACACTGACCAGCCAGAAGATGAAGGTTTTGTGGACAACTCTCTACACGTTGCCCATGGAATCAGGTGAATGGCTCCTGAAATGCCTAATAGTCCATCAGGTACAGAACATACATTCTCAAGGTGCTGAGAAGCACCACGTTCCTTAGTCATGCAGGTTCCTTCCCTGTTGGTGGGGGTTTTGGGAGTTGTGAAGCGTTACTTCCACTTCTGCTTCTCTGGTCTCTTTAACCATGAGCAGGTGTTTTTCACGAAGGAGGAGTGAGTGGGAAGTGGCACTTGTACCTGGAGCAGGTTGTGTTTGGCTTGAGGCTCTCAGTGCTGGACCACAGAAGAATGGCCTTGATTCCTAAAAGTTTGAGAAAGAGTAACTAAAGTTTAAAACAGTTATCTAAAGTTGTGGTTTGCTGTATTATAAAGAAGTAACTAATTAGATTAATGCCTATTGCACTAGTGAAATATTTTTTTTTTTGCTGTAGTTAACATTTACATTGGGGGGAAAATCATAAGTACTTTGTTTTATGTATTTAAAGCGTGTATTTTAACGTCATTTATTTAACGTAAAAAGTAGCATCTTGTGTTTAGTTTAATGACTTAATAGGTCATTGGAATGTGCATTTTATTTGGTGGATAGATGATTTCTCAATGCCTGGTGGTTCAGCTGTCCGACTGGACTCCTCCTTTCAGATTGAAGATGTTAGAAGAAAATGTCATCTTGTATTTGTATCACAGTATTCTGAAAAATGTTTGTTTCTAAGTTAGAGATTTCAGACGGTTACAGATACCACAGAACAACTTTTTATGCACCTGCTGCTGCTTCTGCTCCTGGTAAGAGAGGTTGTTTTGAGGTTTCACTGCCTTGCAGAGATATTTGTAATATCTGTTAAGAAGATTATTGCAATGGAGAGAGTGTGTGGCTCTCTCAGCAAATGTCACAATTTTCATTAGGCTGAAAAGCTAAAAAATAGGTACAATATGTTTTCAAGAAAGCCTAAGGGAAACACAGAAATGGTTAATGTGTATGTATGTATAATTTGAGAACGATACATTTACTACTGAGTGCTCTAGTATTGTAAATTATTTTGATACTCTGAATTCAGCTTCCATACCCAGTGTTTGTGTGTTTAGAAACAGTGTGTTAATCGCACCTTAAATTACGCAGTAACTATTTTTAATTTGGTTTGATGTCTATGAGAATGTGACATCACTTAAATTGAGTTGGGTGGTAGTTGCTGTATTTTCAGTCTAGAAAGCTGAGTATTCCTGCAGCAACAGAGTGCTTAAGCTGTGTAAGTGCAGGCAATGTAGTTCCAGTGAGAGTTAGTACACGTCCCCTGGACTCCTTTCATGGTTTAGCTTTCTCCTGTGTTGATGACTGAGGGTCATGAATATGTGGAGCCCAGCAAAGGCTGAGTCCTGAAAACTGTTCAGTTTATATTCTGGGTTTACTAGAAAATCTTGGTTTGAAACATAAATTTCAGTCTAGATTAGTAGTGCATTTTAAAATAATGGTTTTGTCTAAAAATTCTAGACGTGTTATTTCTTATAAGATTGATGTCTATAAACTGGTTTTCCTTCTTAATTTCCTTATAAAATAGAATGTGGTATGGGTTCAATGTATGACAGTTGTGATATAAGCAAGGATTGTTTGTCAAATAGAAAACAAAAGTTGAGTTGGGAGTGGACCTTGAAAGCAGGTTTGTTTTTTTTTTATAATGTATTTATATTCTGATAGATTTCGGTCTGATTGTGTCACTCAACCCGTGGTGGTTTGTTTCAAGGTCTGATCCCTGAAACCAGAGCAGGGGGTTTGCCGTATGGCTGTGCAGGAACACTCTTGGACCTGAACGTTTCTGAGAGAAGTAAATATTATGCACGTGTGGGAACTCCTCGTGGTGTTCTCGGCCAAGAGAGGAGACCTGGCAGAGAGCCCTTTCTTAGAGCACTGTGGACGTGCCAAGTTTGAACTTAAAACGGAAGTTTGAGTTATTAGATTGCATGAGTGCTTGCAAATATTTCCTGAACTGTGAAGCTTTATCATCATTATAACAGTGTAAACATCTGAAAGGATTTTTAATTTTTTTTTAATATTCACTTAGTGCTTTTGTGTTGGGAATCAGCCTGACACATTTCAACCCAAAACAAATGTGTGTGTTTAAAACCAGATGTCTAAAACAAGGCTGTTCACTCAACAGTAATTAGGGTTGTAGAAGGCTGATGACTTGATTGTTGATGGGTGATGTGGTAGAGTTTTTGGATAAGCTTTGAGAGATACTTTGAATTTATAAATTTTGACCTTCTGGGAAGACTCCCCACGTTCCCGTGGTGGAGTGCATCGTGTGTGTGCCGTGGCCACCCGTGCTCGGATCGATGAGCTCCTCACCCTCAGCAATACCCCTTATTTTGTTGCCAAAGGCTGTCTTGGCGTTAGAAGTTCAGTGACTTTACTTTCTGTTGTTGCTTTTGTCCTCTGTGAGATGTCAGAAGTGTTCGGTTGGGCTGTGGCATGTTCATTTTAAGTTGACTGAAATAAACAAGGGAATGATGGATCCTTTAGGATGGCAGCTCCTTATGGAATTTCGCAGTTCTGGGTCCACTGGTGTCATGTCTGCAGTGGGTGGGTGAGTTTCCATGGCGAGCTGTAACCTTTCCCCCTTCCTTCCTCACCACTTCCCCTCCCTGCAACCCGGGGCTGCAGAGCTGGGGCTCCCAGCTGGCTTCTCCCAGGTTTCTCCCAAAATCGAGAAAAACAGATGGAGAGGATGGTAGGACGTGGGTTTGGCTGGGAAACAGGTTAATTCTTACTGGCCCAGGAAGCATCACCTTTCTACAGGTGATCTCTGAAACATCTGATGAAATTCCAGAAGGGAATTTTTTGAAGTGTGGGTCAGGAGCCAGGAATTAAGATTCAGAAAATTCCCATTTTTTTCCTTCTTCTGCAAAAGCAGTAGATAGGAGTTTGTGAGAAATGCCGGCTCACACCTAGAATTTAAAGAGGACAAAGTCGCCGAAGCAAAGGTATAGAAATTTATTCTACGAAACAGCGCTGAATCGGGTGCATCTCAAAGTAGAGGCACACCCCCTTTTGGTTTTTTAGGTATTTTTATACTCCTGAGTTACTGTCTCCCTTCTCATGGGCTGAGAAGTTGGAGCTCACATTCTTCCCGACCGCCTAACCTATTATAGATAAAGCACATATATCTGTTCTACAAAATTATTATTCTAAACACCCCGCTATATGTTTGTCATCACCTGCTGTCCAACATTAGTGGTTACAAGTACTCTGGTGGTCATATCTTCATTAGTTAAACAGAACCTTTCTCTGGACACGATTTCACTGGTTTGATTCCATGAGGCTGGAAATATGGAGAATCGAGCCTTTCCTCCTCCATCTCTGTAGCTCCAGAGCACTTTTAAAATTTGGAAGAGTATTTTAGTATCGTCAGGATTAAGACATCAGACTGGAGAAATTCATTCCAAGCAGGCTTTGAATAAATTTCCTGTTGAAAGTAGTTCAAGATGAAGGCTTTCGTAGTAGCGTTAACCTGTTGAAAACAATTAGCTGTTTTGGGATGTGTGCAAATAGCCATCAGAGAAATGTCCTTATTACCCTTGGGATTTTTTAAACATAAATACAAGGTATATCACAAATATAAGGTATTCTCATAGTTCAGAGTTACAATCAAGAAAAATACTTCCTTTGCAGTTTTTGGTGTTAGTTGGCAATGGTAGATAAAAGCATCTTCTATTTGAAACCTTAAGTTCTTTGAAATGTTCCATTGTGATTTGCCGCTGGATTATGTTGCAGACTTTTTAGCAGTCTTTCTTTTTATGGAAACAAAATTACTTTTTCTCCTCGATTTGTTTCAGTTGTGCACTTTCTGACATCCTTTGATGTCTGTTGTCTGGTTTAGTGTGCTTTATCTAAATCATAAGCAGTTAAAGGGATTACATAGATGCTGCTCTCATTAGTGTGCTTGATAAAGTCTTTGACAAATAAGAATGTCCAACGTGTGATGTCAGGAAGACGTGACTTCTGGCAGCCTCACAACGAGGGGTTCCACGCGCATCACGGGGTGGAATTGGGGCTGTTGGTCTCTGTGGGACAGGGCTCTCCCCGTGGTCTGTGTGTTCCCCTGGGTCAGAAGCTGGGGCCGTTCCAGAGTGTCCCTTTTGGACAGATTGTCCTGATGAGCGGAGCTGGGGGCTTCTGTGGGGAGGTTCTTGAGATGTGTCCTCCATGGGCTCTGCTGGGGCTCTGGCAGCTCCTGGCCGATCCCCACGGAGCTCCTACACACCCACCCTGACGGCGTTCCTGCGGGATGGGCTCCTCTCCATTCTCCTTCATGGTTTTCTCCAGCCCAATTGCTTCTCCTGACAGTGTCAGAGAGGCTTTGGGATCGTGTCGCAGGGAATCCGGGAGCTCCTTTTCCCTCTGTGTCAGGCTTTGGGAACCTGTAGGGAGGAATGGCTCCTGGTCTGAGAAGGTGGCCAGTGAAACCCGTCTCCTTTGGGTGGAGTTGACAGGCAAGGTAGGCTTTTCCGACCTGCTGCGTTGGTGACTCTCACACCAAGTGTGAATGGAAGCTCTTGTGCATGTTGTATTTTTCGTGTCTTGCTCCCCAAGCATATTTGGTTTGATGAAACAGGGAATTTTCAGTTGGATTATTGTTGTTGCTCTGCACTGAATCGTCCGTGTTCTGAAGCCATCGTTAATTTTAGCACTTGAAAAAATTAATGCTAATTTAGTACTAATGTATTTAATGTCCCTGAAATAAGTCCTGCTGTTCTAACTGAATATCCACAAAGGAGTTGAGCATCATTTAATTACACTTACTTTTCACAGTTGTTTTAGGTGTCCCAGCGTATAAAAATACCCAATCATTTTGAAAGCTTCTTCTTGAAAATGATATTTGCAATAAAATTGTATAGGAACTTGATTTAAAACTAGTTGACGCTTCTGGGAAGAAAGTGTTAATCACTACCTTAGTGGCAAATCAGTTTTCAAACCTTTAACGTAGGTTGTTTATAGAACATCTTTAAATGTCAATTTGATTCATGTAGTAACCTCTTTGTGGCTCCACTGAGGATTTAAAACTCTAATTTAGCAATTACAGAGGATAACAAAGCAGGGTACGGAAAGGAAGGAGTCTGATTGATGTCTGGTGCTAAAGCTCCGTGCGTACACGTCCACCTCTACACGTGCTGCAGGAAGGCACGGGGAGTTGGCATGAGAGGTTTTTTTGCCATCAACTCCTGGATTTTTTTGGTATCAGCCTTCCATGCAGAACACTATTTGAAAAAAAACTGAAACCTTGATATAGTTTGTGTTACTGCTTCTGCCTCCCTGACCTCATGGAAACGGGTTATGCTGGAAAACATCCTCTCTTGTGTCTGGGAGAATATTGTGAGGCACTACTACTGAGGTGTTCTCATGAGCATCACTACAGTCACACCTGACTATCCAGGCACCACCTCTTAATGCTTGTCTTGAGACAGGCTGGACAATCACAGAATCACCGAATCTTCTAGGTTGGAAGGGACCTTAAAGATCATCTTGACCAACCGTCAACCTAACTGACAAAAATAGACACCCACACAACAAACAAGGGGCATCATCACTAAACCATCCCTCCCAGCACTACATCAACCCGGCTTTTGAACACCTCCAGGGATGGGGCCTCAACCACCTCCCTGGGCAGCCCAGTCCAATGGCTGAGAACCCTTTCAGTGAAAAAATTTTTCCTAATATCCAGCCTGAACCTCCCCTGGTGCAACTTGAGGCCATTTCCTCTTGTCCTGTCGCCTGTGACTTGAGAAAAGAGACCGACCCCCCGACAATGGATGGCTATAAAAACTAATTAACAGGTGTCTTGAGTTTAACAAACTAAAATCAGGAGAAAAAAAAAGATGATACTTGCTTGGGGAGAACAAACATTGACATTCATCTTTTGATTCTGTGCATGTTGGTTTTCGTGTTCTTTTTCTTAAAACTGGAGAACTTTCTGTTTTGCAGTTGGCGTGATCAGATGTCCGATATGCCGCCAAGAGTGCAGACAGATAGATCTGGTGGATAACTACTTTGTAAAAGACACGTCAGAAGCACCCAGCAGCTCCGATGAGAAGTCAGAGCAGGTAGGGCACTTCCCAGCCTGCTGGAATTCCCTTTGTTTCTGTGTGTGTTTAATGCTTTCCAGGAAAATAGTGGTAACTGACTGTTTGCCTTTGTAGGTGTGCACAAGCTGTGAAGATAACGCCAGCGCTGTCGGATTTTGTGTAGAGTGTGGGGAATGGTTGTGCAAGACTTGCATAGAAGCTCATCAGCGAGTAAAATTTACTAAAGATCATATGATCAGAAAAAAAGAGGATGTATCTTCAGGTGAGTGTTTGCATATCCCTTAGTCCTTCCTGTGGTAAGAACGTCTTCTCTTTGGCACATGTAAAAGGAGAGAGGGAAGACTATTTTGGTAACAACCGGTTGTACGGCTTTCCCCAAAGATTTCGAAAAAAATTAGTAAAAAGCTACCAGTGCAAAATTGGTAGCTCTAAAAATAGAGGAAAACCTAAGTTTTAAACTAAAATGGGTTATTTGCTGATACTTTGTATGGTTTGATGTCCAATGTAAAGAAATATCTTAAGTACAGGAGAAACAGAATGAGACTGCAGTCTTTGGAAAGAATTTAGATCCATTCTTAATAATCCTTTTATTTAGTAGAATAACTCAATGGAGTGGTTGAAATCTGGAGAGCGCTGGCAGATTGGTTATTTTATCCATTGGCCACAGAAATTAAATTACACATTTTGCTGTCCTTGGCTATAAGGAGCAATTGTTTTCCCAGTAGAGAATTATTTGCAGCTAAACTTGTAGCCATATTCAATACAATTTACTATTGTATTGATACTATTGAGTACAGGTGGAATTTAAATTTATTTTAGGTTTAATAACTCTTTCAGTTAGTGAAAGTTAATGTGCAAAGTGTGTATACAGTTTGTTTAGACAGACAGCTTTATTGGAAGTTAATTCTTAAACTCTCTTTTGACTGTATATAATTTATAGCCTACTGATGCAGTGTGGAAAACATCCTCAAAACAGGTAAAAGGTAACTAGGTTTTAGCTTAGAAGATTTTATTTGTAAAAGGCATAAAAGTTCTGATTTAAAGACCTGTAGGTTCTGCACAATCTGGATCTATATGAAGACTGATCATATTGAGGAAGGAAGATCTTGACATTTTTCTCTCTTTCTACATTTAAAATAAATTACGACCTTCCTGATTGTTTCATTGTGCCATTTCAAAGGAGTTACGCTGCTTTGCTTTCTGCCAGCTCTCATCAAAGTTACACTAGTAGTTAAAAAGTTTGCTATTGAGTTTATTTCTTTAAGGCAAGGATCTTATTTCACTTGTTCTATCAAATAAAATTCATTTTTGGAGGAGTTTCGCTGTATGTCTTAATGAGTAGGGCCCTAGGAAGCTTTTCATTAGGAGTGCAATATTGTGACTGCCAACGTAATGCTGTAGCTCTGCCTCCCCTTCAATAACCTGAGCGGGGAGGTGCCAAAAAAATGGTTGTTCCAGTAAGTTAAACTATCAAAAATGTGAGTTGGTGTTTTTGGGGGTGGGTGCCCCTGTGCAGTTGATGTGCTGGGGTTTGGTGAGGATACAGCCTTCTGTGACCTGACGGACAGTGATCCCCTAACTCTCTTGATTGTGGGCAATGACTGACTGTGCATTATTTGCTCAGAGAGGCTTGTTCTTGTCTGTCTTGTTAGACTCTAAAATACGCCCCGGAGACTTTAAATTTCTATTAATGAGTGTCAGCTGCAGATTCATGAGCTCTCTTTCTTTACAATAACTTGCATGGTATAACAAGCTTCAGAAGTGCTGGAGACTGAGGAAGACATTCACGTTTTAAACCTTACCTCTTCTATCTTCCAAAGGCTGCTTTCCTCTGTGCTGAGCTCAAAATATCTTTAGAAGACTGTGCAGCACTTTTTATTAAACTTGAAGCTATTTTTTGACGTTATCTGTTTTTAAGTGGAAAAGCTAAGTAGTTTAGCTGGGGTTTAAGTAACTCTAAACATGGGCAATGTTTGTTTGCATTTGCTACTTCAGTTGCATATGACTTAATGAGGTCATAAAGGTTTTGAAGTGATAATTTCGAAAACCGATGGGTGTTTGACAGCATAAAAGTTTGTGAGGTTTGATTCATTCAATGTGTCAGAGGTGAAATCGCATGCAACTTAATGTTTAAACATGTGTACAAGATCCTGGTGTTTGTGTACACTTTGCCGGTGTCTCTTGAGTGGCAGGAGAGGAGTTTCTCCTCCTCCTCCTCCTCTCCTTTGAATGCGATAAAGCACAACCAGCTGTAAACCACTGGCACTGTAAATACTTCAGTGAGAATGCACTCACGTACCTCTAGGGTGAGAATGGGTCTGTAGTTGTCTTTGTCTGAATTCTTGGCTGTTACTTAGCTTGGAAGTTAGTAATTTTGCTCTTCAGATTGTCTAAATTTTATTTTAAAATGCAAAAATGGTTTATTTTTAAAAACAGAGGCCGTGGGAGCATCTGGTCAACGTCCTGTTTTCTGTCCTGTCCACAAACAAGAGCAGTTAAAACTTTTCTGTGAAACCTGTGACAGGCTGACATGCAGAGACTGTCAGTTACTGGAGCACAAAGAACACAGGTACAAATGTTCCCATGTCTTAATTCCTGTGCCGTGCTTTCGCAGAGCGTGGAATGGCGTTGATGGCAAACAGTTGTGTCACTAAATACTCTTGTATTTACTCCCTGTTGGACTGAAACGATCCCTTAAAGGAGAACCCATGTGGAGTGCTGAAAACTTAAAGTGATCAGTGGGTTGAGCTTTCTCAAGGGTCTCCAGAGTGGATTCTGAACGCTGTGGTCCGGGGTGATTTGGGGGGATTAAGGTGCTAATTGGGCTGGTGTTGACCAGGGCTTGACCAGACATGGCACAGCCCTGAGCACCCAGGGCTCTAATGAAGCAAAAGTGATAGAGTGAGTCATGGATGAGGTAATTTTTTGAAAGGGCATATTTTATCATTCAAAAGTCTTTCAACTTGGGGTAATTTTGTAAAGCAAGGTATAAATTTTGCCTCAGATGAATATATTTTTCTAGTAGAGGGAAGAATTGTTTGGTTTTAGTTGGTTGAAAGTTGCCTCATTCCGAGTAAAAAGAAATGATGGGGTTTGACTTGAGCTTACTTTTCTCTGGGCTGCTAGAAAAAGTTGGAATCCCTTAAGATACATTAAAACTTCCTGCTTTTTAGCAGCTCTGTCATATAGTTGTTTGGATATTTGAAAAACTATTTTGCAGTGTTAGGATAGGGGGTCTGGGGAAAAATATGTATTTTTCAGCCACTGCATCACTGCTTTTCCCAGTCACTCTACACGTAACACCTCTCTGTGAAGGTGCTTGACAGTATGCTGCAATATTGAATTTAATGGTTTTTTCCTAGAGTAGTGATTACTCTCATAGACTGCTGCAGCAGCCTAATGGAGAACTTTTACTTTTGAAATTAGTACTTACTATTAAAATATTAACAACCCCGAATATTCCTGCTCTGTTCTTTCATAGGCTTGATCATAAATACCCTGAAGGACACTCTTGTCCGGAAGGCACGGTCTCCTGGGATTTGTTCACTAACTTTTTCTAGTTGATTTCTTTGCATCTGTTTTGTGCATGATGCTAACGGATTAACAGATGTATCTTGTTCTACTTACCTGTTCTTTTCCAGTAAGAGAAGAGAATACCTTGCTATTAACATGCTTTGTTGCAGAATATTTGTTAAAAATTGTTCTGTCTGCAGATGTGAATTACAGATGAGTAGGGCGACTGCTTTGTCTGCCACGAAGTACAATTGAGGTTTTTATGAAGCTCAATAAATCATTGAAGGAAAACAAGTGGAAACAGGAATTGAATTTAATGTCCTATTTACTTCTTATCTAAAATCCTGATAGTTTGCACCAAAGGAGAAGGAATTGCCATTTCAGTAAACTCCATGGCCCAGTGTTCAGTTCAGGATTTCAGGTGGAAGAATTGCTGGCGATTCTGTAGAAAGCTGACATTCTTTTGGCAGTGTAATGGTGCAGTTCCTCTAATTTAGGTAGCTTTCTGTCTGCACACTTTGGAAGCTAGAACTACAATACAATATTTCCAAAAAAAAAAAAGAGAAAGCACCCTTTTAACACTGAGACTGAGGCATCTGAACTCCTGCAGCTGGAACTTGTCTGTTGTTCGTAGAAACTTGAATGAACAGGAGCAAAGTCATTTCTGTTGTGAATAGAATTCTCTTTGCCCAAGTCTTGGTTATTGTAACTGAGAAATTTGACTCAAAAAGCAGTGTTACTGTCAGTTTGATCATAGACCCAAAAGTCTTTTCCTGTTAGACTAGATTATAATATTCTCCTAGATTGGATAAAAGATGACACTATTTTCTTTTCAGCAGTGGTTGGGAGATAGTATGGGTTACTTCTGATGTGGCTTATAAAATGCTTCACTTTAGTTGTAGGAGTTCTCTGCCAATTTGAATGTTGGGTTTTAGTGTAGTGAAGAAGGGAAGACAGTCTGGGAACCTGAGTTTTCCCTGTTGTTGACAAATTTTACATCAGAGCATTAAGTTTACTTGCTGCAAAGGCAAGAAGTGGCAAGTGACTGACAGGAATCCTGGGTTTTGGGGGGAATCTTTGATAGCTGAGCAGTCAATCACAAAAGATGAAAACTCTTGGAGCTATTTAATGCCTCTTCCCATTTCAACATGGGCATTTTGCTGCTTTTGTGTTGTTAATTCCTCTTGTGATGCATAGTATGTTAGGAAAATGCAGCTAACTTTGTTATTTTCCTTCAATGTAGCTACTTGCACTCTTCAGATAAAGTAATGGAAGGTGCCTTTAGTAAAGTAGCTGTTTGAAGGACTTGGAAGGGAAAGTTGTTCTTCCCCTGGAAGTACTGAAAAAATTCTAAAAATTAAGGTTTTTTTAATAGGAGTATTCTCTTTTGGATTAAACTAATTCAGTCAGATATGAGCAATATAATCTCAGCTGAAAAACTGATTTGCTGCAATAGGGTGGGGTTTTTGTATCATTTAATGTGTGTTTAAGCTATTGGTGTGTTTTCCTCATCTAACATTAACAAAATGATTTGTTGTACTTTGAAGTCTCTGGTATCTCCTTTAGCTGTTCCATAGGTTGCTGTCTTGTGGAACGGCACAGGGCATTGTCTCCTGTGTAGTTGAGATTAAGAAGTGACCCACAGAAGTTCAGTCTTCTGGACACTTACAGAGGGTTTTATCGATGCTGAGATGTTGTGCACATTGATGGGCATGCGTATAGTTTATTTTTTCTGTGTGTTTTGTCATATTTTTTTCAAAATTTTATAGCTTTACCTCTAAATTGAGAACCCTTAGTGTCGGCACATTGCTCCTTGGTAATGATGTTGTCTTTTCCCTGTTGAAAAGGTATCAGTTTCTGGAAGAAGCTTTTCAGAACCAGAAGGGAGCAATTGAGAACCTGTTGGCCAAGCTTCTTGAGAAGAAGAACTATGTAAATTTTGCAGCTACCCAAGTTCAGAATAGGTAAGTACCCCAAAATGATTTACTGTTATTATTAGATTGCCTTTTTAACGAATCAGAGTAAGATGAATGTTGGGACTAGAATAATACTTACATTTTAGCTGATTCTGTATCTTTAGTTGTGTTGGACTTAATTACTTTTTGTAATGTTTTCTTCCCTACAATCCTGTGCATCTGTTGGAAGTTGTTACAAGAAACTAATGCCAAAGAAGATGTCTTTTATGGCACCTCTGGGGAGAACCAAAGATGTGACACATTTATTATGTGTGGTGGTGCGTGGTGTGGTGCAGGTCTGGGAATTCCACTGTGATTCTCAGTGGTTTTGTGAGCCTTCTGCAACTTCTGTGTCACTTGCAAAATGACAGATGGTCAGGGATGGGAAGTACGAGGGTAGAAGGAAGTGTACCAAAGATATACGGGGAAGTTCTGGTGCAAATTTTTAACTCCCAGTGGTACCATGTACATTTAAAAAAAAAAAAAAAGGGTTGTAAGGGAAGGAGAACATACAATGTGACAGAGGCAAATGTGTGAAGATCTAAGCAGTGGAAACTTCTATGTGTTGATTCAGCGTGGAGCTCTTTGAAGGGACCAAAAAGAGAACACCATCGTGAAGCAGGACATTCTGCAGAATTGTTACAAAATGTTCTCTGATAAGAATTCAGGGCCCATAATGGGTGGTACGTATATGAGTAACACACTGTAATGGCTTTTGCCTATGAGTTTCTGGCTTCACTGAAAATTCAGTGAATTTTTGCAGCCTGTGATTGGGTTGTGTAGAGATCATGGTTGTCTGCTGAGCCAAACGGGTGGTGCAAGTGGGACACTAATTTTCTTTGGTGTGCCACTCAGTTACTCTGAAGTGTAGGGCGCACAATCCATTACCATAAAAACTTCAGCAGATGAAAAAAAAAAAGTTTATTACAGTAATGTTGTCAGTGTTGGCAGATGGTATGAAATTGCCATTGTATGGGATTGTGAAGTGTAAAACAGTGTTGAAGGAGCAGCTGCCTCCTGGGATGGTTGTTCGGTGCCAAAGCCAAGGATGGATCCCTAGGGATTTAATGAAGGGTTAGTTGAATGTTTTTTGGAGTAAAAGACCAGGTTGTGCTGTCATGAAAACGTGTCCAAGGTGCCTTAAATGGCATTTGACACCAACAATGAAGATTGTTATCAGACAAAGGAGTATTGGTCTCACGATGCTGTCAGGATGAGTGATGTCCCAAGTTCAGATGCTTGATCTGGCAGCAAAGAAGCCCTTTAGAAAAAAGAAGCCCTTTAAGAAATGCTGTATTTCAAATTCTCTGGACAATGCTCAAGATGTTTTTCTTGAGTCTGAAGAAGTTGAGAATAGAGAAGACACTAAAACTGAGGAAGAAGGACGGTGATAGAAACGATGAAGAGATGTGAGGTGTAAAAAACTGAAATGCAGTAGTAGTAAAACACAAGAGAATAATGTAGACTGATGTCAGGCAAATCATTAGTGAAATGTTTATATCCTTATTGTGTGTTAATTGCAGGTATGTAATAACCTTTTTCTTACAAGACTTTTTTGGGAGATGGAGGGATCCGTCTGAAATTCAGGATTGACTTTCTTTTGGGTTAATATGCAATAGCATAAAAGTTTAAGGCATCATGTATAAATTCTTTATAGTGAAAGAGACATGGTATGGAGATAAATATATATGTGTCTTGGCTGGGTATGTCTGTATGTGTAAAAATATAAATAAAGTGTATAAATCACAAGGACTGTTTCACATTATTTTAAGTAAAACACCAGTTGTTAATTGAGAAACTATTTTGATTCCAGACAGTTTAATTTTTTTCCAAAACTGAAATTTTTCCATTTCTTTTAAAAAATTGCTTAATGATGATTTCTCTGTTAGAAATCAAACAAGCTATAAATTTCGTGCTTATCAGAACTTCTTCAGTACAGAAATTACTCCTTCATCCCTTAGCAGGAAGATGCCTGTGGTGTTTGGTATTTGGCAGCGTAGTGTAGAGCAACTGCCTGACAATACATTTATATATATATATTTTTATTTTTTTTTAGGATAAAAGAAGTAAATGAAACAAACAAACGAGTAGAACAGGAAATCAAAGTGGCTATATTCACCCTCATCAATGAAATCAATAAAAAGGGAAAATCTCTCTTACAGCACCTTGAGGTACAGTTAAGAGAAAAATTGTTTTTCACAGTTTCCAGTCTCCTATTGAGAACTCGCATTCTGTGTTTGAAAACAGATTTTTCCTGCACTTTGATACCTCTGAGAGGAACAGTAGAGTGGAATAATAGAGAATTATTACTTGATGGTTCTCCCCACTCTGGATATGAGCATTAGTATAAGCTGCTTGGCTTGTGACGTTTTTCTTTCGCTCTAAGAACTGTGACAGCGGTTTAGATTTTCCTCCTAAATCTGAAGCCCTCATTGTAATAAAAGTTTGTGTTTCTTTGTAGAATGTCACAAAGGAGAGACAGATGAAGTTAATACAGCAACAAAATGACATCACTGGTCTTTCACGACAAGTGAAGCATGTGATGAACTTCACTAATTGGGCTATTGCAAGCGGCAGCAGTACTGCTTTGCTCTACAGTAAGCGGCTGGTAAGGAAGCGTCCTCCGACTGGGCTGTGCAGGGCAGGAGCATTTAGTCAAAGAATTGTCTAAATACTGTGTAGCTTCACCAGATTATATCCAAGGAAGAGACAAGGAGTTGTTTGTGCTTCATTTAAAAAAACAAAACAAAACTTTCTGTAACAGTGGGATAAATTTCCCAGCTTGTACACCACGTTTCATATGTAAATGAAGGACTTGACAGTAGAAGGAACGAGGTCAAGCTCTGTGAAGGCACCTGAGTGTTTCACCTGAATCACTGCAGAAGCAGTATTATTGTATAACAGTACTTGTCTGTAATCCTTTGAGTTGAGTAAAAAATTAGTAGTACAGTGGGTGGTTTTCCTGGAGAATTGCGTACTTTCCAGGCTACCAGCCAAATGTGCTATTGGCAGTCCTTGCTGGTGATCAGCAGTCTAAACTCACTGGGCAAAGGCACACTTCTTAACGTTCTCATTTTTTATTTCATTGTCATCAACACTCTTGTTTTTGCTTTCCATTAGATAACATTCCAGTTACGTCATATTTTAAAGGCACGTTGTGATCCTGTCCCAGCTGCCAATGGAGCGATTCGCTTCCATTGTGACCCTACATTCTGGGCAAAGAACGTCGTCAATTTAGGTGAGAAAATTGTGTTTCTTCATTCAAGGAGGTTTGTGTGCACAGTAAACTAACTTTTCATTGTGTAAGTAGCGGTTTAAAGCTGACACTACTTCTTCATGGGCAGTTCCTCAAGCAATTTTTGAGTGCTGTTACCCTTGGAGATTAGTGAAGTAGGAAAAAGCAAGGCTCTCCAGAACAGAGCTTCAGATGGTTTTTGACTAGGAACCCAGGGCAGGCAGGGGAAGTTGTACAGGAAGCAGAACAGAAACTCTCAGCCTCAATAAAAAATGACATGCAAATTCCAATGACTACATGTTCAAAGTAAAAAAAAAACCAAAAAACACTAAACTAATCATTTTGTGTTTTCCCTTTAAAATCAGACCGGAGCTTGCGCTCTAGCTGTGTGGTCTTAAAAGAGACTTAAAATTTCAAACTCAAATTGCTTTATTACTGTCCCCAAGGAAACTGAATTAGAAACATCTGAATATCCTACATTTATCAGTCTTAGGATGATGATGGAGATTTAACTGCTTACTAGTTCTTTCTTTGTTTTGTTTAGGTAACCTTGTCATTGAAAATAAACCAACTCCTACTTACACTCCTAATGTAGTGGTTGGACAAGCTCCTCCAGGAACAAACCACATCAACAAAGCTCCGGGACAAATTAATCTGGCGCAGCTCCGGCTTCAGCACATGCAGCAGCAAGTTTATGCCCAGAAGCACCAGCAGCTGCAGCAGATGAGGATGGGGCAGCCAACGGGGTCCGTTCCCAGGCAGAGCAGCCAGCAGGTCTTGCAGCAGCAGGTAAGTGTCTCCTACATTCTTATTTCACCTTTTGCCATAACACCGAGACTTAAAATTGCCCGCTGAAACGTAAACTTGCCAAGCAGTTTATAAAGGTGAAAAATCTTTTGAAATCTGCCATACTTTAAATGTGACAACTTATTGGCTTTTCTTGATGTTATGTAACTAGTAAACCTACTGCTGTGGAAAGAGATTGGCTTCTTTTTTCCATGTTAAAATCAAAAATTTTAAAAAACAAAAACCCTTGCAGCCTCCCAGGTTGATCAGCATGCAGACCATGCAGAGGGGTAACATGAACTGTGGGGCTTTCCAAGCACATCAGATGAGAATGGCTCAGAATGCTGCTCGTATACCAGGAATACCACGCCACAATGGACAACAATACTCCATGATGCAGCCTCACCTTCAAAGACAAGTATATCCTGTGTACACGCTTCATTTGTGCCATTGTGCCAAACTTTCATTACAATCAATGATACCTCCAGCTGTAAACGTGTTTAGTATTTATAATGCACAGCTACGCACGTTTATATGCTTTTTCATGTTGCATACTGTACTTTTTTGCTGAACATAAGAAAAATCAAATGTTAAGAATGAAAATGAATTCTAATGTTCGTATTGCATTTAGTTCTGGGAAACAAAATATTTCTTTCTTCACTTTGCAGTGACATTCAGCTTTTGGGTTTCTTAGTGAATAGTCAGGAATAGTGAAGTGCAAAGTGGTGTAGTTGAGGGTTTTTAATGAAACTAAATTCTAAAATGTTTTTAAATTCAAACCTGAAGCATGGTGCAGATCTCTGCATGCCATTAAGAATAAAAATTCTTGACAATGAATGTTAATGTAAATGACTTTATAATACTTGAAACAGTCACTTTTTTCTTAAAAAAAAAAGTTTGTAGACAGACATATGGATTCTAAAACTGTCTTTGGAGGAAGTAATTACTTTAAGAAAATATAACTGTATATGAAAATAATTTGGTGGAAGATGTACTGTATATTTAAATATCTAGCCACATAAAGTGTTTTTTCTTTCCAAGTAAATAAAAATAGCAGTTGTTTTGCATTCAGTGCTGTCAGTGCTATGTTGATAGAAATGTGAGTTTACATGTTCTTCCCCCCCAGTTTTTTGTTGAGGACTAGCATGTAATGCACGTGTTGCAGTTTTACGCACAGTGGCTGTCTGATGTCTGTAACGTAGTCATGGTCTCTTCTCTTTTCCTACAGCACTCTAACCCTGGCCACGCGGGGCCTTTTCCAGTTGTCTCTGTGCACAACACCACTATTAATCCAACTAGTCCCACCACAGCAACAATGGCGAGTGCAAACCGTGGTCCAACAAGTCCGTCCGTTACAGCCATCGAGCTCATTCCTTCTGTAACAAACCCAGAGAATTTACCTTCCCTGCCGGACATCCCACCGATCCAGGTCAGTGGAGAAGACCAGGCACTTATGTGATGGGTGAAGTAATGATTTGCTTTCCTTTCTGTATCGTTTTAAAGTCGAAGATTTAAAATCTTCAGCCCTTGACTTGGACATGCAACTATTTTCACTATATTGTGCTTACCTGCTTGACCTCTGTTAACCTTAATTAATCAGTATTTAATGGCTGTCCTGTAGTAAAATTGATACTTTGATCTGTTGATCCCAAGTTCTGTGTTCACTTCCTTTATTCCACAAGACTATCACATGGGAAGGTATCACTAGAATAGTTGAATAGTTCTGTATGTTGAATACCATGAATGATGATTTATTCAGAGTTAAAGTTGCCTGGCACTTCTCTGTGATGTTCCTAAACGGGACAGTCAAATGCAGTAACTACAGAGAAGAGGTGTCCCACTGCCCTGGTTCTCTCTGCTGGCATTTCCTCAGCTCTGCCCTGCAGTGGGGCTGTAATCGTTCCCTTGTGTGCAGGGGGCCAGCCTTTACGTCAGAGGTTTGGCACAACTCTTCAGCTGATAGTTCCACACACAATCTGAGGGAGATTTTGATGAAGGCAAGCTCGTTTGGAGAGGTCAGAAGCGTAATTTAATGTATGAGTGGAGGCAAAGAGAATAAAAGTAATACATTTTCTTCAGGAGTGTTTGGGAGGCCAGGGAGGGGAGGACGATGGCTTTGTCTGGAGAATAAGATGTTCCCATTGAAATGCCCGTATACAGTACGGGAGATTTGGTCATGATACAGGAAACAATCACCTTAGAAACAAAACCTGACTTTCATCCAAGCAGATGGTCTGCTGTAATACCCATAGCAACCTTTTAACTTAATCTACAGAGAGTCGTGTTCAAGGGTTGCATGTTCAGTTTTCTCCTGAGACTGCAGGTAATTTGCTAATGTAAGAATAGTGGGAGGAAAAAGGGGTGACATCTCTGAATGTGACTGATCTGCAGTGCTGAAGCTTTGTTCAGTCAGAACAAAACATGAGAGTAACTGGCCATGACTGATTCAGCTGAACGTGTCTAAAGTTCATGATACCCAAGTTAGAAATAGTTGTTAGTGGGATAGTCTAAAACATAAACATGCGATTTCTAGGTGAACTGAAAATGCAGGTTTCCGTTAAGATGCTTTTTGTTATACCTGTTCAAATAATAGCTGTTAAGGATTTTAGTTGATGAGTTGGGTAGGAAGCTATTAGTCTCTCAACTTGCTTGCACAGTCATAAAGATCCACTTTGAATACAATGTTTTTCAATCACGTTGTTTGCAAGTTAATAGCTTTAAGCAGTTAAAGTAATAGGGTAACTGCTTCCTTATTTTTATAGAAACTAGAATCTGTGTAAAAAGTGAATGGGAGGAAGGGAGACTTCACATCGTGCTAAGGAAAAACAAGTTTGTGGTTTCCTATAATATCTTAATGGTGGAATAGCTCTTGCAACATTGGTGACCTGGTAGTTTGTATGAGTAACACCATCTGTATGATGAGCACATTAAACATCTGAGAACCAAAAGTTTGCTATGACCTGGAGTAAAATGCAACCTGTGACTGTACCAGAACTCAGATATTTAGGAGCTTCTGAAAAATTTTGCTTTAAGTTTCTCACTGTTCCGAAAGACTGATCTCTGTATGAAAATGGTAAGGATGTTTGCTGATGTCCTGAATTCTTGAAGGCATAGTGAACAGTTCTGGTAAAGATATTGACCACAGTTTAAAGATGTGGAGCTGCTAAGGAAATTTAATTAGACCTCTCTGATTCAGACTTTTGGTTTTGCTTGTTAGCTTGAAGATGCTGGTTCAAGTAATTTGGATAACCTTCTAAGCAGATACATTACAGGCAGCCACCTACCCCCACAACCTACGAGTACCATGAATCCCTCCCCAGGACCTTCAGCTCTGTCTCCAGGGTCATCAGGTAAATGTGATGGGTATTTCTAGTGATGGGTCCACGTTTCTGGTATTTAATTTAAAAATTATTACCTACTGTTTACTGCCAAAAGGGAAGAGTTATTTTGTTTAAAATTTGTTTTCCTCAGAAATAAATTATTCTGGAAATTCAAGTTTTACCCTCCTTCAGAAGTATCTTTCTCAAGACCTGCATGCAAAACATATAGTCTGCTTTGCTTGACTTTATTTGTGGATGTCAGTGGATAAAATTGGGGATTTAATGGGCTGAGGGCTATCCCACTGTTTGGATTAGGTGAAATAATTATTGGGGCTCTAACAACAATATGTTGTCTGTGTTTTTATCTAATGTGATGTGCTACACCTTTGTTCTGATCAAACGACTGAGAGGGCAGCTGACTTGTGTGAATTATTAAATTCGGATATTCTAGCAGTACTTCTGGTGTTACTCAACACTAGCCATATATTTTACTGCAGAACTGAAATTTGTACCAAATCATCTTCTATGCTTCTTCTTGCAGGTTTATCCAACTCCCACACTCCTGTAAGGCCGCCCAGTACCTCCAGCACAGGCAGCAGAGGAAGGTGAGTGTGTGACATTAACGCTGCCAGGCTGAAAACTCAGACGTGAAGAGTTCAAAAAGTGAATTGGCAGTGGGTCAGTGGGGCTGTGATGTAGCTGTGACCCAGGAGATTTCCCTCCACCCCCTCACTGTGATTCTCTGCTGTCCCAAAAACTTGAGCTATCTTGTAAATATCCTGATGTGCTTTGCCTTTGAAAGCGTTCAGGAAATGGTCAATTTAATTTCTTTGCTCTGCTGAGTTTTCCTCTGATTTATATGCTGGTTTCTTTCTAGCTGTGGCTCCTCGGGCAGAACTGCTGAGAAAACTAGCGTTAACTTCAAGTCTGACCAAGTGAAAGTCAAGCAAGAGCCAGGTACAGAGGAAGAGATATGCAGTTTCTCAGGAACAGTAAAGCAGGAAAAAACAGAGGATGGCAGAAGGAGTGCTTGCATGGTAAAGTTAGTTTGTGCAACAGTATGTTCTGTTTTTCCTAGCAGCATGTTTAAGAATTTGGAAATAATAAAGTAATTTTACTCTTAAGCCTCATACTCTGTTAGCAGCCCTGAAGACCAGGAGGTGTTTCTCTCTCTGGCAGTGTGGCTGAACTCGAGGTGTGGGCACACTCCAGCACTGAGCTGTCTGGTTTTGTAGTACTGCAAAGGCAGCTAATTACTGGGGGTTGTGACATAGGTACCAATAAGCTGGCAATGGGACTAGAACAGTAGCTTGCTGGTTTATGTTGAACAAATAAACATGAAACCGTGTCAGATGTTTCCCATCCCAATTTGGACAGGACTTGTGATGTGGATGCAAAACACACCAGTCCTTGTCAGTTTTATGTTTTAGGATAAGGGAGTTGCATGTTGAAAGCAGTCCCGTAGAAAACAGAACTTAATCTCAGTTTGGTCCATGTTGAGGACTTTATTATATTCTTTAGCTATTAAAATGAAATACCCTCAGCAGTATAGTGTGTTTGCTGCTTTTAATCCCTAACTAATAAAAGCTATAAGTCACCCATTGTAGGTACTTCCTGAACGTTCATACGTATGTAATTACATTGAGAAATCTTCCAGTCTGTCAGAAGTTCTTATGGCAGAGCATAAATAAAGTATTTATGCAAATGAGTATTTTTCAGTGTTTCCCAATTATGCCTCATTTAATAGGATTGCGTACTGGGAGCAGGGTGATGGATTTGAGGTTTTTTCCTAGTGACAGTGAAGGTATATCTTTAACAATTTGTCTCTGTGTTTGGCTTGAAAGTTTGTTTATCATGTTATATATCAATAGAAAATGAGTCTGTTCTTGAAAGGATGGACTTAAGAAAAGGTAGTTTTTAATATTGTATACAACTTGGGTCTCCATAGTGATTTGTCACGTATTTTAGGAAATGAGTAGAGTACCTCTAAACAGTGGGTGGCTCTTGACTTCCAACGTATGAAGAAAGATGCCCATGTTAAGATGACTCTCTCTGATTTTCATGTGCTGCTTTCATTTCAGCTTAGCAGTCCTGAGAGCAGCTTGACACCACCACTATCCACTAACTTGCATCTGGAGAGTGAATTAGAAGCATTAGGAAGTCTTGAAAATCATGTAAAAACTGAGCCAACGGATTTAAGTGAAAGTTGCAAACAGTCTGGACACAGCCTGGTGAATGGGAAGTCCCCAGTGCGGAGTCTAATGCACCGGTCTGCTAGGATTGGAGAAGGCAATAACAAAGATGATGATCCAAACGAGGACTGGTGCGCCGTGTGCCAAAACGGAGGGGATCTCTTGTGTTGTGAAAAGTGTCCAAAAGTGTTTCACCTGACTTGCCACGTCCCGACACTCCTCAGCTTTCCAAGGTACCAGAAACAGCGTAAAGGTTCCTGAGAACAGCTCTGTGGTCTTGTTCATATGGTAGATCTTAACACACACTACCAAAACTGGTCTTCCATCCTCAACATCAGCTAGTTCAGAACTGGCTAGTTCAGCAGTCGACACACTGGAGGGAAGGGATCCCATGTTAACACACTACCAAAACTGGTGTTTCATCCTCAACGTCAGCTAGTTCAGAACTGGCTAGTTCAGCTGTCAACATGCTGGAGGGAAGGGATGCCATCCAGAGGGACCTGGACAGGCTTGAGAGGTGGGCTCATGCAAATTGCATGAAGTTTAACCAAGCCAAGTGCAGGGTCCTGCACCTGGGACGTGGCAACCCCAGGCACAACTACAGGTTGGGTGGAGAATGGCTGGAGAGCAGCCCTGAGGAGAAGGACTTGGGGGTGTTGATGAATGCGAAGCTCAACATGAGCCAGCAGTGTGCTCTGGCAGCCCAGAGAGCCAACCCCATCCTGGGCTGCATCAGGAGAAGTGTGGCCAGCAGGTCACAGGAGGTGATTCTCCCCCTCTGCTCTGCGCTTGTGAGACCCCACCTGGAGTCCTGTGTCCAGCTTTGGAGTCCTCAACACAGGAAGCACATGGTCCATGGTTGGAACGGGTCCAGCGGAGGGCCACGAAGATGATCAGAGGGATGGAGCACCTCTGCTATGGAGACAGGCTGAGGGAGCTGGGATTGTTCAGCCTGGAGAAGAGAAGGCTCCAGGGAGACCTTATAGTGGTGTTTCAATATCTGAAGGGGCTACAGGAGAGCTGGGGAGGGACTCTTTGCCAGGAAGTGCAGTGACAGGACAAGGGGTAACAGTTTTAAACTGGAAGAGGGGAGATTTAGATTAGATACCAGAAAGAAATTCTTTACAGTGAGGGTGGTGAGACACTGGAACAGGTTGCCCAGAGAAGCTGTGGCTGCCCCATCCCTGGAGGGGTTCAAGGCCAGGCTGGATGGGGCTTTGGGCAACCTGCTCTGGTGGGAGGTGTCCCTGCCCAGGGCAGGGGGTTTGGAACTAGATGATCTTTAAGGTCCCTTCCAACCCAAACCATTCTCTGATTCCATGAATTTCTTGTCATTAAAAAACATCTGGTGGGTCAAAGGCCTGCCTGAATTGTTTTGCATGTAATTGGTCAGGGTTTGTCTGATAAACTTACGGTCTCTCAAAGTGTGATTCTGTTTTGTGAAGTTCATTTTAAAGTCATAATGAGAAAGGTGTTTTTAAGTATTATAATGTACTTGGGAGAGGAATATGAGGGCAGTTCTGCCTTGACTGGCAGAATTGTCTTGAGCATTAGGGGTTATTCCTTGGTTTTGGATATCCAAGTCTTCATTAAAATATAATGTGAATCTGTAAGAGCTAATAAAAAACCCAATCTTTGTAGGCATCAATGATGAGACTTTGTCCCTGGATATCTGGAATAATTGTGTTTATTTCTGTTTAGTGGAGAGTGGATATGTACATTCTGCAGAGATCTGAGCAAACCAGAAGTAGAATATGATTGTGACAACTCACAGCACAGCAAGAAAGGGAAAACAGCACAAGGCCTGAGTCCTGTGGACCAAAGGGTACGTCTCAAATCTGTAGTGATCTGTTTCCTAGAGAGAAGTGTTTTCTCACATTAGCTATCCCCTACTGTTTCTTTAAGATATTTTTGCTGTGGCTGCATCAGATTAAATATAGTTGTGGCTTATGCAAAAATCCCCAAATGAGAAATGACATTTTTCTTAGTTTGACCACGTGTCCAGGTGTTGGTGACTACGTGGCAGCGCTCCCTTACCTTGGGACTGTAATCCTCTGGCAGCTAAAATTTGCATGTAAACACATACTCAGTGCTTGTGAAAGGATGCATTTAAACAAAAGTCTCTTCAGTGTTCTTAATTAGAAGTTCTTTGCACTTAAGATTTGATACAACTTTCATAAAGTAGTTATGCACGTTGGTTATGCTGCACCTCAAGCTCCTGCTGTGAGAGGTGCTGGAATTATTTAGTGTGTTCTTGTGGAAGGTGTGATGACCTTGACAGTCAGAATTATTTTTAGCTATTAGCAATCAGCCCGTGCATGGAGTGTTAAGAGTATTATCAAATCAAATTCCTCCAAAGGCATTACAAGGAAAGGAAAGAAAAATATTTCAACAGCAGGTTCATAGAAACACTATGGCTTTGGTTGCAAATTGTTTAATTTTGTCTTGTGGGAAAAAGAATAAAAGTCTCCAGCTCAGTCCTTTCCTGTTACGTGCAGCTACAGTTGGACAAAAGTGGTTGTAGTTTGTCTCTCTTTTTTTTTTTTTTTAATTTGACTGTATATTAGCATCCCTCTTCATGCTTGCCTGTAGCCCAAGCACTTGTTTAGGAAGAAGAAAGCAAAAAGGAAGTTCATTTCTGCTATGTGAACAGTAAGGTGGTGTTTTACCCTCTTGACAATGCCCTCCTAAGGACTTTGTTTTGTAGGGATTGCATTTGAATTTTCTAGTACTAAGCTGCTAAAGTACAAACCTATTTAAAATAGAGATATATTAATTTCTGTGCTGAGGATAAATTAAGGATATTAATGTGAAGCTGTTTGTTTCTTTGTAAGAAATGTGAACGTCTCCTGCTTTACCTGTATTGTCATGAGCTGAGCATTGAATTTCAAGAGCCAGTCCCAGCCTCGGTGAGTCTCCTGAAAAATAGTTTGTGATTTTATTTTTGCCCTAACTTCTCTAAAAGTCTAGACTTGAGTTCAGAAAGGAACTGACTGCTTTTACTTGAAGCACGTCCCCCTTGATCAGTCTAAGAGTTCTGGCAGTCATCTGGCATTCATGGTTCTGAGAGCTGATTCTGTAGCTTCTCTGTGCAGAGCCTCTGCTACCAGTCTCAAACAGAGAGATTTAAAAATACTTTAAATTAACAGTTGTTGAATGGGGAGAGGATGTCTCAGGATACCCATGATATTTAAAAATCTCCTAAAAATTTAGGAGAGCTTTTTTGGACAATCTTTTAATGAAAGGAGGAAAGAAACTGCTTTGAATCTTCTGTTTTCAGCTGTAAAAGAAGTAACTATAATGAAGAGCATCACTGTGACATGATAGACTGCTATGATGGACAGTGAAGGTTAGAAAGAACTTCTTAAACAGCTTGAGGAAAGGAAACTGTTCTCACTTGCTGAACGTGCAAACAGTGCATGACAAGATTAGCTGATTGATATTTCGATAAGTGAAGAAATTCAACTGCTTTTGGGGAACTATGTAGTCATTGTAGTGATCAAATCACTGTTTTTTACAGATACCAAACTACTATAAAATTATAAAGAAACCAATGGACTTATCTACGGTGAAAAAGAAACTGCAAAAGAAGCATTCCCAACACTACCAGACTCCTGAGGATTTTGTGGCAGATGTCCGGTTGATCTTCAAGAACTGTGAAAGGTTTAATGAAGTATGTTAACTTCCAATCTGTATACGTTCCTTTTAGATTTATTTCAACATGGTTGTACAGGTTCTTCATTTAAAGGCTCTGCTTCCAGTTGTAACTTCTACTTACGGAGCAGATGCTGAATCAGACATTTAAAAACCAAACAAAAGCCAAATGCAATTGCAGAACTACCTCTCAGCTTTAGCTAAACGGGGAGATCAGGCTTTAACAGAGCGGTCACTGGTAAGGACATGTGACTGAAGAGCAGGGTGACCTTGTTCTGTACATCAGACAGGTTGCAGAAGTGCTTGGGACAATCAGGCAGTCCTTAAAACTGTCCAAAGCTATACAGATAATGGTTCATGACCACGTCATGGAACATGGTAGAAGTCTGTTGGGGAAACTTCCTCTACTGAGGAAAAGCCCCGTTCGGAGAATGTGCTACTGCCTCTAGAACCTCACACGGGCTGAGTCCTGAAAAGCCTTGTGTTCCTTGTGGATACTTCTAGGCTTAGTGTTTTAGTTCATGGACTCTCTCAAAAACCAATTTTCGGTAGATAACTTTTGTATGGAGTCATATTTTTGATGACTGAAATATTTGCATCTACACACGGAACGTGATTTGGGTAGATAAATTACCTCAATGCTATTAACAAATATTCTGAATATCAAAAAAAAATAAAGTGGTGGTGTGCTGAAACAGAATATGGGCTGAGATAGGAGGGTATCCTCATTTCTCTGAATATCAAAAAAAAATAAATTAGTGGTGGTGTGCTGAAACAGAGTATGGGCTGAGATAGGAGGGTATCCTCATTTCTGAAATGCCTTAAAGCAAGGATGACAAAAAGCCCTGGGGAGAAGGCGTCACAGGGAATGGCTTTCTTCTGACCTTAGAAATGCATAAAACAGCCAGTATTGTCCTGTAAAGTGTAATCTGAGTTTTGCAATGTTTGGCCTGCATTTCTGGTTCTGTGAAGAAGTAAATTGAAGGGAGCACACACACCTATAATTAAAATCTCAACTGTTTCACAAGTACACTAGTAAAAATCAAGGTTAATGATGTAATGCTGTAAATGCTTACAAGCCTTTGGGCCTTTGACACCCCCGACTCCCTTATTTCTCTGTATTAGGTGGAGATTAATGAGCACTGTGGAAGAAGTTGCAATTCCTGTAGAGGAAAACGTGCTGCAGCTCTTAGGGACAAGAGTAAAACAAGGGAGCAAGGACTGATCGATGTGTTGTTTTTTGGTTTGGTTTTGTTGTTTTTTCAAAAAAAAAAAAAAAAAGGTGTTTTAGGCTTGTCTCTCTGTTTGAAATGCTGGCTCATGGCAAAAGATGAATCGCCCTGAGCTCTCGTAATAGCATCATGTCTAGTGTCTCTAAGCCATATGCTTTTAAAAAATAGAAATCAAAGTGGGGTGAGACCCCCAAGAAACTAGTCTTGTGGAGCACTTCCCTCTAAAGACAAGTTGTGTGTTTTGTTGAAGGTTTATTTACCTCATGTCGCCCTCCTAAGACTGTTTTAAACCTGCTTCTGCTAAGTTTGAGAACTAAAGAGGTGTAGCCCATAACAAACTGTTCTGTTGTTATGGCTGACTTAAGTCATCCAATCCTGTGCAATCTCATAACTTTAGAAAGGATTATAATTTCATTTTTTTTGACTCTGGTATCCTTTTTAGATGATGAAAGTTGTTCAAGTTTATGCAGAAACACAAGAGATTAATTTGAAGGTAAGCGTTTCAGACCATGCACACTTGGTGAAGGGATGTGCATTTCCAACGGGTGAATATTCCTGTCTCTTTGTCCACAGGCTGATTCAGAAGTAGCGCAGGCAGGGAAGGCAGTTGCATTATACTTTGAAGATAAACTTACAGAGATCTACCCAGACAGGACCTTCCAGCCTTTGCCTGAATTTGAGCAGGAAGAGGATGATGGTGAAATAACTGAGGACTCCGATGAAGATTTTATACAACCACGTAGAAAACGCCTAAAATCAGATGAGAGACCAGTGCATATAAAGTAACCTAACGATATGGACCTGAAACTTATTGTAAAAACTGTTATTTAAGTGTTCCTGGAATATTATCATGCCTACGGTGGCCATCTTGAAGAAGCTGATAGCTTTTTAAACAGTATTAGATTACAAAAACACTTGTACAGAAAAGCATTCTCATCAAAAGGGGAAAAAAAAAAACTGTATTGTAAATTTTTGGTGGTTTTTTTTTTTTTTTTCCTTGATTATTTGCTATATTCTTTCTTTTCCTGATGGAGGGGACACGCTCATCCTGGTCTCACAAGGTAGAGGTGATGAATGTTGGAGAGAAGCAGGTTTGATAACGGGATGTTCCCTGTAGGACGGGACGGCGCGGCGAAAGGCGCTGCGGGACTGGCCCCTGGGGTGCTGTGTCTGCAACGTCCCCGAGACCCCCCCTCTGTGTGTGTGTGAACTTCAGTGCCTGTTGGTTGTTGCTTTTATCATCTCATTTCAGCGGTATCGTGAATAACTGATCTTCTGTCTTGATCCGGGTTATCTAGATTTGACTTTCTTTACCACGTTTTATGTATAGCAAAAGGAAAAAAAAAAAAAAAAAAATCATTAAACTGTTCTGAATTGGTGAGTGCAGGAGTGTGAGTTCTTGACAGGTGAAAGACTAATTATTTAATGGGGTGGCAGCGATCTCCTCTGGGCAGGGGAAGGTGTGTTTGTCATGGATCCTGTACACAGAACACGTTAGTGGTGCTCACAGCAGAACTGTCCGTCCCCGATCCCCCGACCGAGGCAGAATGTGATCTCCAGTGTTCATTGTCTCATTTTCTGTACTTGAAGTATAGACTGAAGAGGTAATAACCGATTGGGGTGTTTTTTCCAGTCTTCCTAAGTATCAGTTTCTAATAGACCACTCGGCAAACAATAACCTATTAACTACCAAATGTGTAAAATTTCCTGTATTCACTTTGTCTTATTTGTAAATAGTGAATTGAGATTTCTTGCAGATCGGCAACATTTGCTGAACTGTTTTTAAGCTAATATGTATTCTTATTAATTGTTCCTATCAAGAAAAGATTTGTAATATATGCTATTTCTAACATTGCATTCATTTTGAGGTTCTGTCTTATTTTTATTAGCGTACTACTCAGAACTTTCTTCAGAAGCAGCTTATGAGCGAAATGTCCTAGAAAGATTGGAGTAAATCTGGTGAGATTGGGTCACTCGTCCACCCATTGAACAAAGCACTTGCACAGACCAGGATTTGGCTTTTTGAGTGGTTTCTGGACAAATCCTGTAAAGAGAACAGTTTCCCTCTGCGGCGCCTCCCCCAGCCCCTCCGCTCAGAAACAGCTCGTCACAAAGGCGCTTCCTTTGTCCGACAGAAATCAACACTAGGAATAATAAGTGTAATTTCTGGCCTTCATATAGATCTTGTTAAAGAAAGATGGGGAACTCATCTAATTGGCTGAGGTCAAGCTGACAGACCATAAGATTTTGTGTGAATACAGCAATTCTGTGGCAAATCACCGGGGTTTTGGTACGCTCGACGTGAACAATTCCTGTGGCGTTGGATACGCTTTACCATAGTGGTAAAAGTAAATATTTTAGCACAATGTATCAAACTGAGACATACTCTCAGCAATTTTTATGCAAATCACTTAAGATTGGATTTCTTTTTTTATAAGAGCAAATTATATGTACATTGTGACTATAAAAAGGGGACTGAAGGTATTTGTAACTTCAAGCTCACACCTTTAGATTTTGCAAATGTTACACGTAAACTGTTTTTTTTCTGTTTCTCGGATATGAACACAGTGCCAGTTCAAATTTATTTTTTACCAGTTTGTATGTGGAAGGAAAAGTAATTCTACTTAAACATGCTAAATTGACAAATAGCCCAAACTTTGCCCATAGAAAGGATGATGCATGTGAATAGGGCACTGATAGTACCGAGGGATCATGTGATGGCTCTGTGTGTTGCCTCCTTACGCATTTCTAGTTTCTCAGCTTCGTTTTGCAAAGGAATATTATTAAAATGATCATGAAAATAAGATTCTGTGAATTCTTTTCAATTGGGGTTACTGTTTTTATGGCGCTTGAGCACTCCAGCTCCTGTACCTTCAGGCCTCAACTCTTTAACCCTTCCCTTTGCCAGGCCCCGGTCCTGGATTCCAGCGCGGTGGAGGGTGGCATCGGTGTGGTGTCACCCGGGGGGCTGTCCCCAGGGACCCTGGCAGAGCTGGCTCCCAGCTGCTGCAGGACCAGGACCCGCCATCTTCCACCCAGAACGGTGTCTGGGAGCCTCTGGGTTGTCTGTTCCCTATGACATATGAGAGAAATTGTAGTTGCTGTAGGTGGTGACAGCCACGTCCCTGCCAACCCCTCATGACCAGCGCTCGAGCTTGGGGAGCTCCTGGAACTGCTCCCCCATTCAGCTCCTCAGCCCTGTGGAGCCTGGACTCTCTGCAGGAAATCTTAATTTTTTCTTTCCTTCCCTCTCCCCCCCCATTTTGGAACTCCCAATACAACAATGCAATGATTGGTTTGAAATATTTTACAGGATGGATAAGCTTGGCTGAGCAGGAAATCTTAATTTAATCTTTCCTTCTCTCTCCCCCCCCATTTTGGAACTCCCAATGCAATGGTTGGTTTGAAATATTTTAAAGGATGGATAAGCTCGACTGATGCTGTCCCTGACCCTAAGGCTGTAAAGGGCCTTGGTGGGACCAGGAGGGGTTTGCTCGGTCACAGCAGCCCTTTGGTGCCAACACTGCTTGTAACCTGTTCAGGAGCAAGTTCATGGGGTTTGTGTGACAGACCCTGGTGTCGCCGAGTGTTGTTCTGTGCCGGGTGGGGGTGTGTGATGTGTGGAGTGACAGTTCTGCCCCGGGATGGGAGTGTGGGTCCCATCAGCACAGCCCCAGGACGTGGTGGGATCCCCTGGGGGTTGGTGAGGAGTCCCGTGTCCCCCACGAGATGGGATGGGCTCCTGAGGGAACTGTGCACTCGTTTATGGCACTTCTGAGAAAGACCATGTCTCAATTTGTCTTGTAAATGACCCTGAGGTTTAAGTTGATCCAAAGAAGTAAAAGGCAACTTGCTTTTGAAAGAAGAGTGGGACGTGTACGGTGTTGCTCCTCGTGGACCTCGTGGTTACCTCAGCAGGGATCCCGCCGTGTAATTACTAGTGATTAGTGAGGAGCTGACCAGCTCAATAGGTTCAGGTCTTTCATTTCACTGTGCCCTGGAATTTAGTGGCCTAAAGTATAATAAGGCAGAGTTACTGTCTGAAAAAAGAATGTTCCCCAAACTTTTGAAAATAGAAATGCTCTTAAATATAGAGAGGTTGGTTGGTTGTGTGGAATGTCACCGTTGCTGTGACTTATGGCATTTGACTGTCAGCACACTTAACACCCGTCACTGAAATGTTTTATAAATATTTCTGCAAGTCACTGGGACAGAAGTCCTTAAAATTAGCCCAAATGTATCATTTTGGTGTATAACCTCGTTTATTGGCTGACCTCGAGTCGTTCAGGTAACAACAACAGTATTTGAAAGCTCTGTGTATGACGTACTGGGAGTTGGCTTTTTCTTGTTTTTGTTATTCTCTTCCTTGGAAAAAGCAATAAAACTGCTTTGTCTGTTGCCCATTGGCGCGATGGGAATCCTCTCCTTTGGATAGTGGTTTTATAGGAAGGTTTGTTTGAATATCACCGAGTCCAGCTTTTAAAAACAAAGCATGCATGAGTTACTGACAATATAGTGTGGCATTTTATTTTAAAAATTGGGGAAAGTTACATATTTTTTTAAGAAGTAGGTGTTTGAATAAATAATGGATGTACTTTTTTTAAAAAAAATCTATATGCCACAGTTTACACAGATGTATTTCAGATTGAACGTGTGTGTTGTATCTTCAGATGTGGTGGTTTCTTTTCTCGAAGTGCGTGTGCGGTACCTTTTCCATCTGGTTCCTGTGTTCTCTTACGGGGATCCTACTTTATGTGCTTCCAAATGGATCTGAATTGGTTTTCAAAAATAGCAGTTCATTTGGGTATCTTTATTGTAAGTGAACAACGAAATGTACGAAGTGCAGTTTTTGGCCTTTTCTATTGAGTGATCTTACAGCTCGAGGCTGCTTTCTTTACAATGTATTGAATTTCTACAAGGAGAGGTACGACAATTATTTTATAAGTTCAACTTGTTGCAGCTTTCACTAGAGTGTGAGCTCCAGTTACAAAAGAGAAGTGCGTGTCTGATGGGTGGCAAACATGGGTGTTTCTTAGGTTCAGAACACCATGAAACGTGTATATACGCCTACAAAGATTTGTGTGCTTGAAAGCCTGTTTTATATGTAAATACACTCATGGAAGGGTTAAATTCATGGCATTCTTTGATTATTTCTTGCTTCCAGTAACTGAACTGGTTCTTTTTTGCACATAGTAAACTGCTCATCTTAATATGATTCTTCAAGAAAGTGCTGTTTCTGTGGTATTGTATTATCTGAATAATCATATTTAACTTTTTTTAAACAAGATTACTGTTTCTAATTGTTCTGTTCCTGTGTTTTTTGCTGGTGTGTAATAAAAAAAAAAGTTTTTCTTTACATGGTTCTTTATTACATTAACAGCCTGTAAATATTTCCTGTTAAGTGCTCTGGAATGTGCTGTAGAAGTTGTATTCGAGCGGTTTAAAGCATTGTTTGAAAACCATTTTGTTTTGGTTATTTCTATTAAATGAGAAAAATTACTCTTTCAACTTGAGTTTCTTTTTTGCGCATCTGCGTTGGGTCATTGGACGCTTGTTCAGGTCTGGCAAAAGGCTTTTCTGATGGTGGCAGCTTGGAAAGTCCTTGGAGGGGCTTCACCTGCGGCGGCTGGAGCGTGACCCCCCCAGGGCTGCGGCAGCACCCGCCGTTCTGAGAGGGAGCACATGGACTGAACTGGGCTCGGGGTGTGAGTGCAGATGCTGTGGTTTCACCCCTCTGTGCTCAATTTCCCATTTGTCACGTTTATCTACAGCTAGGATGCACGAAGTACAGGTATTTTAAGGTTTTCTCTAGTGTTTTTTGTGCTGTTCATCCTGACGAGGCCTCGCAGGAGATGGTTCTGAGATGTGCAGCTCCTGCCTGTGCGGTTCCTGGAGCTGGGATCTTTCCAAAGCCCCCCTCCTGCCCCCAGTGAGCACTGGGATAATGAAAAAGGAGCTCAACTTGGTGGCTCCGTAACCTGTTAACCTTACCCCTGTAGCTCCACGATGCTTCTCACCTGCCATACTCAGCTCCACACGGCGGTCAATGCATTTCACCAGGGAGTGCATGGCAAGAGGCAGTGTGTTCCTTGGATTAATAAATATGTATTTTGATATATCAGGTGTACCATCATGAAGGTATGTTTGTACTTTCATAATGTTTGCAGTGGGTGAAGGCTGCGATTTGAGCACGTCTGGTGTTATAAATGAACTTCAGGCTCACAAAGAAGTTGGATTTTTCTCTTGCTGCTTGTTTATTCTTTAGGTGCTTGTAGTGGGTTAGTGTCACGAAGCTCCACGGTAAGAGAGCTGTCTTCTGGGAAAAGGTTTAGTTAACATCACTGAAGTACAATTTTTTTTCTTGATAAAATGTTAACCTTCATCTAATACAAGCACTTCATTGTGTTCACTTGCTTTTTGCAATCTGCAGCAGAGGAACAGATGGTTTGAACCAAAACCATTGGACTTGAGATGGATTTTGCTGCTGGACCAAATGCTGCCTGCGTGAGGTGGTGCTCGCTCTGCCTGTGCTGGACACGAGTGGGTGGCTGGATCCCTGCTGACCCCTCCGATTCCTCTGGAGCTGCGTTTGGTGCCGGCAGAGGAACGACGAGGGCTTCTCTGGGTGGGTGTTTCATTTCTCTTTGCCAGGCGCTGCCTCGCCGTGTCCAGAGCGATCCCAGCCTTCCCAGTCCATCTGCTCCAGCTCCCGACCACCATCTGTTCTGTCCCTTCCTGCAGCTCTCTGCCTCCAGGGCTGGACTCTGATCTGCCCTTTCCAGCATCTCTGGCTTCACTCAGACCCCTGCTCCCCGTGGTGGCTTCCTCGGTGCCCGTTTCTGAGCTGAACTTCTCCTGCCTTGCTCCAAAAGCGCTGGGCTGCTCACCAGGTCCTGTGGTGGCTTCCTCGGTGCCCGTTTCTGTCTGAGCTGAACTTCTCCTGCCTTGCTCCAAAAGCGCTGGGCTGCTCACCAGGTCACAGAGTGCTGCAGTTCAGTTGCCAATTCTTTATTCCCCCCCCAGCCCTGACCCAGAGGGATGTTCTTAATCTTAATGTAATTCAGAGAACTGCAGCAACTGGATGCACAGAGCGGTGTGTGAACAATCGGCCTTCTGTAGTCAAACACCCTGCGTGAAAGCAGAGACCATGAACTGTAAGTTAGGCATCATTCTGCTAAGAACTTGTAAATTAACCATTTATTCTTTAAAATCTCTTGTATAGAATGTGTCACCAGGTGGTGCTCTTACACAGCCGTCTACGAGTTGGTCCCTGGGTGAGCAAATAAGTTTTGTCTTGGAATGAAATTCTCAGGCAAGGCAGGCTTTGATGTCCCAGGTGGGAGAGGAACCTGCTGAGGGCCCGTTTGCCGGGTGCTGTGCTGAGATCTGTGCCTGGTGCCTCACACCCCAGGTCAGTGCTGGTGTTTAAGTGGAATGTGGTGACCCAGAGACTTCAGTCTCATTCATTTCTCTCTCCACCTTCGCCTCGATAGAGCGCTCAGCTCGCTTCCCCGGGTGATGCTGTCTCTTGGGCTTGTGTGTCCTTGGTGCTTTGCAGAGTTGAGACTCGGTGATGCCTGAGCCCGCCACTGATCCTAGCCCGGGATTTTTGTGCCAAATCAGGCTGTACAGTAGCTGCTGGGAGTGTTCTGCCTGTGTTGAGCTGTGCTGGGACAGCAAGTGTTAATCCTGACCGTGGTGTGGACAGAGTTTTCCCCGTTGTCATCTCTTTTCCTGCTGCCCGGCATCTAACGGAGAGGAAGGGCTGAAACTCCCCTGAATGAGTTAAAGAACAGAATTT